GAATGTGTGGTGTTTGGTGTTTGTTGTGAAAGAAAAGACAGTATGTCTGCACTTGAAGATGACCGCGTTTATATGGACATTGATGACGAATGGGCATTACAAGACATCACCTTACAAATTGCTCAATTTAGAAAGGATATTGCGCTGGAAACGCAATATGAGAGTTCCGTAACGGTATGCATTATATTAATATATGGAATATATATATTCGCGACTCCACAAGGAATTCGCTTTAACCACTAATTTATATCAGCCAGACGCTGTCACCGTTTGCGTCGCATAAGTTCACAAGCTCTCCGTATTCGTCTGTAGTTGTTGTGGATACTAATTTCCTAATTTCACACCTTGCATTTCTCAAAATGCTCGTCTTAGAGCACGCTAAAAAATCAAACTTAATTGTCATTATACCCTGGATTGTCTTAGAAGAACTTGATGGTTTAAAAAGCAGATCGAATAAATCATATGCCAATTCTTCTAAATTAAATCAACTTGATGTGTCAAATTTGGCTCAAAGGGCAATTTCATTTTTACACAACTGTATGGCCGAAAAACATGACGGAATACGCGGTCAAAAAATACATGAAAAAATTGAAAAGCCCAAGGTAAGATCCCCAACTCATTACTTAGGTCGATAAATAAAAAGTCGATGTTAGGATTTTTTTTTTCCTTTAATGGAACGTTAAATTCGCTTTGATGGATTTTTATGTCGCGATCAAGAATAACGATGATAAAATTTTGGATTGTTGTAGGTAAGTTCTCTATATTCATTTTACTGCAATACATTCTATTATATTATATATTTATACATTGTATGTCAAGGTATTTTCAAACGACGACGCGAAACTCTATAATTCTCTTATCAAATGATAAAAATTTGTGTGTTAAGGCAATGGTTCATGGCAAGTATTACATAACAATTATAACCGTAAGTGATTTCATATTATATTTAACTAATTTATTTCTCCGAAACTTTGTCATACATAGATATATACACATTTTCATATCAGAAAGCTTGTGGATCGGATGGATTATTAGAAAAAATTTTGTCTACTGTCAATTCATCACCAGATACAGTACTGTATAAACAAAGTAGTTCAGTGATACAATGGCCAAATGTGAATGAATTAGAAACTAATGTACGAGAAAATCACAATGGACCTAACGTAGTTTACAATATAAAAGAAGAGCCTGAATGCTTTGTAGAGTATTCATTATGCTTATTTTAATTCATATTTTAATTCATTAATCAGAAACTTAAAAAAAAATTTATTGTGTTGTAGGATACCGATACAATTATGATGGACTGTGATGATGTAATACAAAAGACGACATCATTTTCTCAGAATGTAATACCAGAATCTTCCGAAGTAATAACGAGTTTGCAGACTCCACAACCATCTTATTCTAGATCATATTCACATGAAAATCAATGCAATCTATCATATTTGTCACTGTATGATTCCATTCATGCTCCAGACAATCGAGGTAAAAAATTGGAAGTAAATAATCAGAAGAATAAGGATGCAGTAACGAAAAAAATAATACCATCTACGGTTCATTCAAATCCTCGGATTTCAGAATCATATACGACAACGCATGGATGTATACCTCCTAATGTCATTCAAAACTCTCCATTATCGCCATCATATTCTATACAAGCATCTTATTCTCCTTTTTCTACACAAGATGAACTTAAGCACAATTCTTCTCTATATGCATCTATTCACGCACCGGAGAATTTGGATGTATTTACCAATCATAAAACATCAAGTACAAGTCATACTAATAACAAAATGAGTCGGGAAGCAGATGTAATATCAATGATGCTATTTACAACACCATCAGTTTCTAAGAAATTGTTGACCAAAACTATCGAAACTTCTCATAAACGCCTTGTGAATAAAATCATGGTAAATCTCAGCAATGCTCTTCCACCTGCTATATTATTTCATTTTCAAGAATGTTTTGGGAAAGATTGGAATTATATCATACAAGAACCACAGCCTTGGTGCTTGAGTACGATGATAAAATTCATAGATCGCTATTGGATGACAGTTTTTTCTGATGTATTTCATCAATCTCGCAAGATAAAAGAAGTTGTCATATCTAATGTACTAGATTTCCTGCGTATTTACCAACGTTCAGATGTTGCTGATCTTACCATACAAGAAGTTATGCATTTCATACAAAATTCAGAATTAATATTAAAGATGATTTATGATGACATTGAGGAAACGATCGATTCAGCCGGTGAACGAGAGCAGATTGTTAAGAATTGGTGGTGTGAATTTGAGCATTCTCTCCGATCTACATAGTCAGTTACACATAAATGCAATGAGCTTTTTTTACTTGTAGTTTCATCATTTTATTTTGTCGTTAGGTATTTTGAATTTTAAATCACCTTTTAATATATTTGTGAGAAATTTATTAAGAAATTTTGATATATTAAAGCTCACCTATCTATTGGTGATATTTGCAGGCTTTGTAAACATAATTTTATAATTGCTAAAACAATGAAGTTATTCGAATAAATGTATAAATTATCTTTACATTCATCTATGAAACTATCTTTTGTCCTAAAAAAATTTTTTACTATGAACTTATCTGCAAGTGATACAAAACCAATCGGGCACGTGAGCAAAAAGAAAAGAGCGAAAATACAGTGTTTAAACCTGTCTCTAAATATAATTTCACGATTCACTTCATTATATGATTCATTATCGTTATATGAAAGTATATATCATATTTTCGCGTTAATTCGAAAATTGTGCCCCTAAAAATAGCATATATATCTTCAAAATAACGCGCATCTTAATGGTAAGGGGACTTATTTACAAAAAATGCTCCAGAACTAGGTTTGCTTAGCTGTGCGGACTGTGCGCTGCGCACATTTTCTTTTGAACAAATGTGCGGATGCCGAACAGAAAAAATTAACATTTTGTAAGTAGTGCGCACGCTTGTAAATATTTTTCTTTATTTGGCTCACAGAAAAGTTTCCAAATTTTGCGGTGTTCGCACAGTAAATTTTAACTGAAAAATTAACAGACTCTGGTCCCTTGAGTCTAAATTTGACTCGAAAAAGTCCGATTCAAAAGACCGACTCGAACCGGACTTTTAACATCCCTAGTCCGAGTACAATAAACTTAAATCATATTTTTTGGACCCTTTCTATAAGGTCCCATATTAAGGGTGGGTATTATGGATTGTTACGTAATAGCAAAATTTTTTTCTATCTAATAATTAAAGAAAAAGTTTATATTTAAAAAAAAAAACTTGATATTTGAAACTTTCAAAATCTATCTAAAAAGTGTTATGTTTTTTTTAGTTGGGAGGTATTATGGCGCACTACGTATACTACGTATGCATACGTATCGATATTCATAAACTTAGGTATTGCGTTAAGATATCCTTTTTTATATTTGGTATTTTGCGGATCTCTTCCTGCAACTGCCCCAAAGAGGGAAAAGAGAAAAAAGCATAATAACTACACCATAATACCCAGCTTTTCTCAATCCTTGATCAGAATTGATTAATTTTTGTATCATTCGATTCGTCTCAGTAAAACGAATCGAATGGTATTAAATTTATTCGATTCTGATCGGTGTATCATCAAAAAAA